TTGCCGAGGCCTGAGCAATATCCCGCCCTATGAGGATGGTGTGGGCTGCTGAAGGGCAGTGGGTTTCTGACATCTCAGCTCTCAGGGAACTCGAGCGCTGCTGGGAATAGTGCAAAGAGCGTAGGCTTTGGGAAGGGTGAGTCTGAGGTTCAAACGCTAGTTCCACCTCTATTAACTAGTTCCACCTCTATTGGCTAGTTCCACCTCTATTAGCTAGTTCCCCTCTATTGGCTAGTTCCACCTCTATTAACTAGTTCTACCTCTGTTGGCTAGTTCCACCTCTATTAGCTAATTCCACCTCTATTAGCTAGTTCTCTCTATTGGCTAGTTCCCCTCTATTAACTAGTTCCACCTCTATCAGCTAGTTCCACCTCTATTAGCTAGTTCCTCCTCTATTAGCTAGTTCCACCTCTATTGGCTAGTTTCCCTCTATTGGCTAGTTCCCCTCTATTAGCTAGTTCCCCTCTATTGGCTAGTTCCACCTCTATTAGCTAGTTCCACCTCTATTAACTAGTTCCACCTCTATTGGCTAGTTCCACCTCTATTAACTAGTTCCACCTCTATTAGCTAGTTCCACCTCTATTAACTAGTTCCCCTCTATTAGCTAGTTCCTCTCTATTAACTAGTTCCCCTCTATTGGCTAATTCCACCTCTATTAGCTAGTTCCCCCTCTATTAGCTAGTTCCACCTCTATTAACTAGTTCCACCTCTATTGGCTAGTTCCACCTCTATTAACTAGTTCCACCTCTATTGGCTAGTTCCACCTCTATTAACTAGTTCCACCTCTATTGGCTAGTTCCACCTCTGTTGGCTAGTTCCACCTCTATTAACTAGTTCCACCTCTATTGGCTAGTTCCACCTCTATTAACTAGTTCCACCTCTATTGGCTAGTTCCCCTCTATTGGCTAGTTCCACCTCTATTGGATATGTGACCATAAGGGAGTCACCTCACCTCTCTGATTGTTTCTTCCTCTATGGAATATTCATAACGCTCCCTTGCAGAGCTGATGTGAGTATGAGAGAGGTAGACAGAGGACTTGCATGTGGTGGACACACAGCTCACTATTGTGTTACGGTTTTCTTAAAGGGCACCAGAGTTTCTGCACGGAGCTAGCCGAGCTTTTGGCTTCACCCCATCCGTGTGATTTTGCCCCAGTTTGACCTCCATGTACTCAATGCGTCTGCAGCCTCCCGGCCCCAGGGGGAGTGCCCAGGCTTCCAAGAAGAACTTGGCCTGGGCATCTGAGTGGCGGCAGACTCTGGGAAAATAAGGCACTAGGACTAAGATGGCTAAAAGGAGCAGAACCCTCCTCTTCCCATTCCTGCCTTCTCTTACTCAGACGAGCTGGATCACCAGAAGCGCAGGGCAGACCCGTACCCAGAAAGCAGACAGGGACACACTTCGGCATTCAGGGGCACATGGAGCTGCTCAGCTCACCATATCTCATTCTGAACTTCCACTCAATCTCTCAGCCCAAGGACCAAAGGCCCCAAGATGTTTTCCCAGGAGCAGAGCTGAACCAGGGGGGCAAAACACCCTGAGACAGGAAGAAAAAGCTGATGAGCTCCTAATTGCCTTAAATTATAGAATCATATAGGTATTTTAAGTTGAATCTGCATGTCTAATGTGATTTTTTGGATTACATTTTCATCACCTGGCTGGGATGGGGCACAAAGAGGGAGGGTTCCGTCACCCTTTGGCGGGAGGGAAATTGTCAACAGGACTGCAGGCAGGCTGTGGGGTGAGGCCACATCCCCATGAGGGTGGAGGGGGGAGAGGGGGAAGCTGCTCTGGAAACAGCCAGGCCAGGAAGGAAGCTGGGGGTGTCTTTGAGGTGACACTGCCTCCTACCAAAGCCCCATTGTGTCTAGATGGACAAGTCCATCTGGCTTGTGACCGGAAGAATGCCTTCTTCCTTTGACCTCCACATAGCTCTCCTTGGGGTGGTGAGCACACGATACAATGAACAGATGATGCTATAAATTGTACACCTGCAATCTATGTGATTTTTCTAACCAGAGTCATGCCAATCAATTCAACAAAAAAAAATTTTTTTAAGAATATTTAAAAAACAGCTCCCCAATTTTGGCTCTTTAAAAATTTTTAAAGAATATTTAAAAAACAGCTCCCCAATTTTGGCTCTTTGGGTCCAGATGTCACCTTCTCCCGGGGTTGCCAAAGGCTCCTCCCAGAAGCTGGTGATGGAGCAGATTGCACACTCATTCGAGCCAAGAGTCCTGGCTCTGCCACTGAACTCTGACCTTGGACAAGTCCCTTCTCCAATGAAGGAGTTGGACTGGCCGTCCTCAGATGTCTCCTCTGGGTCCCGTGGGCCCGATCTGTGCCCGATCTCCATCAGGGGAGCAGGAGGCTACACGCTCCTTCACCCCCTGGGTCTTTGCCAACTCTCTCACCAGGCCTCCTGCTTTCCCACGGGGACCCCCCTGCTGCCACCTGAGCCAGCCTGGCTTGTTTCTCTCCTATCAGGGGAACTCCTCAAAGAGTTGAAGGCCGCTCGCAAAACCTCTTCCACACACATGCACACACCTTCTATTTTTAAGTAGCATTTACTTCTGACTCTAAAAGTAAGACCGTACCTGCTCAGTGCAGAAAAAGTGGAAATAGACAAGTATGAAAGAGAAAACAGAAACCACCCCCAATCCTCCAAGTGAGAACCACTGTTAATGGGTTTCCTTAAATGCATGTATTTGTGGATTTAGTTTTCTGTTATGAAGTTGGGATTAGGCTGCAAATGTGACTTTCGAGGTGACCTGGGCCAGGTTCTTCCTTCTGCGGGTCTGCTGCTGCCTCTCGGGCGACTTCCCCTCTTGCTTTTCCTGAGAGGAGGGGACCTTGTGGTGGGGATGAGTGTCCACCTCGGTGTGTGGGCCCCTGGGTGGCCCGGAGTTTAATTTTGACCACTTCTGAGTGTGTGTGTGTGTGTGTGTGTGTGTGTGTGTGTGTGTGTGACAGAGGCAGAGGGAGGGACAGACAGCAAGAAAGCACACGGGCCAGTAACTGAGCAGAAGCCTACGCCAAGGGCCCACCCAATGGGAAGCGTAAGGCATGATCACGGTCCTGTGTGATCAGTCTTCCGCTCTTTGTCCCAGCCAGCGACAGGCCAGCAGCAGCTGGAGCTCCTTGCTCATCTAATCAATTCCTGTCATTTGAGAAAGGAAGACAAATTCGAGATTTGCAGCCCATCCTGAGGAGAGTTGTTGGCTGGGGCATCAGAGTCAGACCCCGCCCACAGCCAGGCTCCACCTGGGGGGGAGTCTTCCTCTCCATTCCTAAGTAACCTTTACCCGCCAGCACTGGGGGCAGGGGGAGGGTGTTCAGGTTTGAGAAGGCTTCTTGGCGGAGGTGACACTTGAGTAAGGCCTTATGGATGCTTTAGATTTGGAGCTGCAGCGAGGTGAGGGGCCCCCAAATCACCCAAGGCGTGCTGCTGTGACAGACCCAGAATCCTGGCCTTTGGCACCCTAACAGATGAACGCATTGTAAACCTGTACCCTGAAAAGAGGCTGAGAATGGGGGGATGGACTTAGTCCCCAGGAAAAGTGCCAACGTGGCCCCTGCCCCTCTCCACTCGGTCACCACCAGCTTCCTTTGAAGGCGGGGAATGGGACCCAGGCTCCACTGGCCCCTCCTTCCCCCTCCATGTGCAAACGGGGTTTCGCTCTTTGGAGAGAGAGTCAGGAGTCTCTGCTAATACAGATCAAGCCTCTGCCGTTAGTGTATCTTCTTTAGGGGGTCACAGAGGGAAAGTTTAATTATTTCATTGAGAGGAACCATGCGGATTACGGGAGCAGTCCCGCCCCTGCCAGGCCTCTCTCCCTTCTGCACTCCCAGTTCCTCTCCCACCCACCCATAAACCCCAGCTCACTCTGTTCATCTTTGTTTTCCCATTTGCATCTCTATCCCCGTCCCCACCCCCAGTTCCTCTCTGATCTCTCCCCTGTCCTAGTCTCTTTGTCTCTGTTTCCTTCCTTCCCCTCACCCTCTTGTTTCCCCCTTTCTCTGGGCTAATGGCAGCCCCCTCTCTACCCGGACAGACTGTCTAATTGAAATGAAGCACTCCAGAGAATGTTAATAGGAAAGACAGCATTAATTAGCCAGCTCTGGCATAATTAGCTTCCTTCTCTCACTGCCTGACATCTAACCGGATAATGAGTCTCTCTCCATCCAAACAGAGGGCAGGCAAAACAAGGGGGACAGGCCCTGCCCAGGGATGCTGGGAGGCCTCCTTGCCTTCAGGCCACCCTGCTGGAGGCCTCAAGCGGCCCGGCCCTGCCCTCTCTTGCCAGCCCCCCCACACCCCCTGCTGCTTGTTCCCAAGTCAGAGGGAGACAGATGCCTGGCCCCTGCCGTGCCCAGAGGTTTGCCGTTGCTGGAGCTGCATGTTAAGTGGTCTGAGCCTGACAAACAGTGGCTGCAGCTGCAGCGTCCCACAGATGGGGCGGGGGGTGGGGGGAGGTGTTGAGAGGAGTTCTTGGGGAGAGCCATGACCCGCATCTGGCCCTGGCACAGCTGCATGGGCAATGGCTGGGCACCTTACGCTCCCCAAAGGGGAGCAAAAAAATCTGTTTATGTGACAGAAAAGAACGGAAGTACTACACAGACTGCAGAGCGCGTCCACCCTGCCCCTGCCCCCCAATCGTGTGAGGCAGGAATGGCCATCTCTCTTTTACAAAGACTCTGAGGTTCAGAGAAGTCCACTGTCTCGCCAATGCTCACACTGCTAGGACCCGAGCTGGGGTCTATCTTGTTCCAAAGATCAAGTTCTTTCCCTCTACCTTCATTCTCCTAGAAGGTACTCTATAGTTGCTCAATATATGTTTTGTGCACGTGTGGTTGAGTTCAGTTCCATGGAACTGAATTGCTCGATGCAATTCCACTGCAGTGTTTGTTCTTGGCTATGATGGGGCAGGGCTAATGCCCAGGGGCATCCTCCTCCCGCTCTGTCCAGCCTGCTGACCCTCTCCCTCCTCCGTAGGCGATGGACTCAGAGGATGACCCATTGTTGCAGGATGTGTGGCTCGAGGAGGAGCAGGAAGACGAGGAAGCAACAGGCGAGGCTTTTCGGAGAGCCCAGAAGCCGGGCCCCCATGCCGGGGCGGCGGGGCAGTGTTGCTGGCGCGGCTGGACCTTGCCCTCCCGGCCGCCAGCCTCCGGCTTCTGGAGCACCCTGGGCTGGGCCTTCACCAACCCGTGCTGCGCGGGGCTGGTGCTCTTCCTGGGCTGCAGCATCCCCATGGCCCTGTCGGCCTTCATGTTCCTCTACTACCCGCCGCTGGACATCGACATCTCCTACAACGCCTTTGAGATCCGAAACCACGAGGCTTCCCAGCGTTTCGACGCTCTGGCTCTGGCTCTGAAGTCCCAGTTTGGTTCGTGGGGGCGGAACCGGCGCGACCTGGCGGACTTCACCTCCGAGACGCTCCAGCGCCTCATCTCAGAGCAGCTGCAGCAGCTGCACCTCGGCAACCGCTCGCAGAGGGTGGCCAGGGCCCCGCGCGCTGTCCCCGCCGTCCCAGGAAGCGGCCCAGGTCCCGGCCGGGACACCGCCACCGCCCGGAAGCCAGCAGCCAATCAGAGCGGACGTCTTCAAGACGCATCGACGCTGACAGGTGTGGCAGCCAACCAGAGCGAAGCCCCGGTGAACCAGGGGCGGGACAAGAGTGGGCGGGGCCGGCTGGGTACCCCGCCCACGCTGGCCAATCAGAGCCGCGCCCGCCGGGGCGCCTCGCGGTGGGACTATTCTCGCTCCTACGTGAGCGCCAACACCCAGACGCACGCGCACTGGCGCATCGAGCTCATCTTCCTGGCCCGGGGCGACGCGGAGCGCAACATCTTCACCAGCGAGCGCCTGGTCACGATCCACGAGATCGAGCGCAAAATCATGGACCACCCGGGCTTCAGGGAGTTCTGCTGGAAGCCCCACGAAGTGCTCAAGGACCTGCCGCTCGGCTCCTACTCCTACTGCTCCCCGCCCAGCTCGCTCATGACCTACTTCTTCCCCACGGAGCGGGGCGGGAAGATCTACTACGATGGCATGGGCCAGGACCTGGCGGACATCCGGGGTGAGCAGGACAGGGAGTGGGGAGAGGTGAGGTCTGCAAGGGGCAGGGTTTGAAGCAGCCTCAGAGTGGGCCTCGTAAGGAATGGGGCCTGAATGAGACCGGGAACAGGGTCTGGAGAGGCTGATTGGAAGGGTTGACTCTTGGTTCAGAACTTAAGAGGCTGGAAGGAGGAGGATGGGAAGGGGCTTGGCTGTGAGACGGAGCCAGGCTGGGACTGAGCGCCACGTGAGAAAGGGTTGGTAGCAGGGTTGGGTGTGAGATCTGAGATCCAGGGCAGGCAAGGAAGGAGGTTTGGGCACACGCCTGGATTGATGGGGTTGGGAGTTAGTCTATGAACCTTGGAGTTAGCTGAGCTTCAAACAAAAATGAAAATGTCAACTAAGTGGGAGCTGCCTGGAGGGTAGGCTCAGTCTCTGCAGTCCCGCCTTCATCTGCCTAGAACCTGCCCACGCCCCCCTTAAACCATCCCTCTGCCGCGTTAGGAACAGTTTGAGGCTGCTTAAGGGGTAGTTTCTCATCTCCTTCAAAGGGGCGAGGTGTTGAGGAGGGGAGGATGACCCTGATGCAGGGCTGATGGGAGTTGACCTGCTGAGCTCTCTACCACCACCCCCTGCCCCCCACCTCTGCACCTGCAGGTTCCCTAGAGCTGGCCATGACTCACCCTGAGTTCTACTGGTATGTGGACGAGGGCCTGTCTGCGGAAAACCTCAAGAGCTCCCTCCTGCGCAGTGAGATCCTGTTCGGAGCACCCCTGCCCAACTACTACTCTGTGGATGATCGTTGGGAGGAGCAGCGGGCCAAGTTCCAGAGCTTCGTGGTCACCTACGTGGCCATGCTGGCCAAGCAGTCTACTAGGTAGGCGGTCCGGCCACACCCGTGTGTGCCTGCCCATGCGTACACCCGGGAAGGGCTATATCAGGATGAGAGTTGGTTCCCAGGTGCCTCTTTCCCATAATCCCCAGATCCCCCTCCCTGCAACCTTTTCCCTAGGAAGTCTTTCCAAATCAGGGGCAGAGCCGGAAATATCCTCGCTATCCCTCTGACAGGTCAAAGGCTCCTCTTCTTGATCATCACTGATGGTTAGTGAGCATGACAACTCTGAAGGAGGTAGGAAATCCCAGCACTCTTGCCCTGGAGGTCTTGGGTATTGATTTTTTTTTTTTTTCTCTTCCCTGCAACGGTGCTTGAGGCGTTTCTGAAAAAGAGTATTAACGAGGGATTGAGGAGTTCCTTTCTTCCTCTATATCCAGGAAGCTAGATGACAAATCACTTCACTCCTCTGGGCCTCAGTTTTCCTACTTGTGTAATGGGGATGGTGTGTTCTGCTGCCCTTCTAGAGTCAGGACGAGATGAGCTAAGATAGCGGTCGGCAAACCACAGCTCGCGAGCCACATGCAGGTCGCTAGCCTTGGTTTGCCGCTCTGTTGACTAATGAGTTTGCCGACCACTGACCTAGACTCTGGATTCCGATAATTACAGGCTGTTGTTGTTCCTTGTGATTAAGCTCCTATCCCAGTAGTCAGCAAATTCATTAGTCAACAGAGGGTCAGACCACAGCTTTGTGAGCTGCCTGTGGCCAACCAGTTTGCCAACCACAGTTTGCCAACCACAAGCTAAGAGCTTGGACGGTGGGTACTTTGGGTGATGGGTGCTTTGGTTGTCCTCCAAGTCTTGGGACGTGTGTCTGAGACTACAGCTGGGCTCTTCCCCACCAGCAAAGGGCATTGGATAGTCCATCTGTCAGTTCTGCTGGGCAGTAACTCCAATGCCTTGTGCAGTCCCCTGCCAAGTTAGCCCTGGGCATATTCCTCCCATGACTCTCACATTACAGGAGTAGCTACTGTCATCACCAGAGCTAATATTGACTAACAGCACTTGCTCTCTGCCCCACATGCTGTTCTAAACCCTATATGCACAGCGTCTCATTTAATTCTCACACCAACCCATTGAGGCAGGTGCTATTACTATCATCTCTGTTTTACCATGGAGGAAACTGAGGCACACCGCCATGAAGTAAGTTGTCCAAAAGGTGGGAGGGGGTTAAAAGCCAGGCTTTCTCATTCAGAGTCCCCACCTTGGGTTTTCTGTGCCAGCTACTGCATTAGGCACTCCTCCCAGCCCTGCTCTGTGACAGGCAGACCTCTGTGCCTCCTCTAACATCCAGCCTGGGAAGTTCTTCCCTGAGGCTTGGACTAAATGCCCTTCTCCCCCTGCCACAGCCCCCCTCCTTCTCCCTAAGGGAGGCAACAAAGAGCATACAACAGGCTTTGGAGTCCGATATAGCTGCAGTCAGATCCCAGGTACTCCACTGAGCTGTGGGAGTTTCAGAGAGTCACTTCACCTCTCTGAGCTACAATGTCACCATAGTCCTGGCCCACTTGTATTTTAGTCGTCTAAATCCTTGTCACTCAAGGTGCAGTCCTCAAATCAGCAGCGCCTGGGGCGTGTTCAAAATGCAGAGGCCTTTCCTACACCTACAGGATTTCCAGGTGTCTTGTTTGCACAGTAACGTTTGAGGAAATTCTGGCTTAATTATGTCTCAATAGAGGGTGAGTTTGTTGAGGACTGGATTGTTCCCGGCTCATTTCTCTAGGCCAGTGGTCGGCAAACTCCTTAGTCAACAGAGCCAAATATTAACAATACAACGATTAAAATTTCTTTGGAGAGCCACATTTTTTAAACTTAAACTTCTTCTAACGCCTCTTCTTCAAAATAGACTCGCCCAGGCGGGGGTATTTTGTGGAAGAGCCACACTCAAGGGGCCAAAGAGTCTCATGTGGCTTGCAAGCCTCAGTTTGCTGACCAATGCTCTAGGCTTAGCCTCTTGCACAGTGCCAAGAACACCTTAGCAGGGATTTGTCTCAGGGAGGGAAAGAAGGAGGAAGGAGCCCTGGGTAAAGGTACTTGCCTGGGTTGGGAAGCTGAGAGGAGCTGACTGTAGAAGGAACTTCAGGGTTTCAGATACCAACACCTATGCCTGATGCGTTCAGCTGCTGAGGCTACACCCCTGCCTTGGGTAAAACGCCTCTCTCTCCCTTCCTGCCCTCTCAGAGCTTCATGGGAGTAGGGACAAGTAGGACCCTTGTAGACTTGACTTAGCACCTTCCTTTGATTAATAAAATCTTTTTTATTATTCTATTATTGGTTTCCCAAGAGATGGTGCACCTTGACTTATTACGGAATAATACAAATTGTCACTTTTACTACTTCCATGATAATATTAGAATCTTAGAACACAGTTCACTGCATTTAGAACCCTTCAGCTTTTTGCATTTTTGTTGCATGCATTTTAATTCTATATACATTTATACCTCATAAGACATTACAGTATTATTTTACTGAGTCGGTTTTCATTTATATTTACTCACATATTTACCTTTTCTGTTGCTCTTCATTACTTTCTACAATTTTATGTTTCCCTCTGGGATAATTTTCCTTATATCTGAAGAACTCTCTTTAATATGTTTTTTAGTACAGGTTTTCTGGTGACAAATTCTCCCTTGTTTGCCGAGGAAACTTCTTTGTTTTACTTTTATTTTTAAAGTATATTTCTACTTGTGTCGAATTCTAAATTGGCAGTTGTTTTAATACTTTAAAGGTATTGATCCATTGTGTCCTGACTTCCATCATTTCTGGGGGAAAGTCAGCTGTCCATCTTTTTGTTGCCCTTTGAATGACTGTCCTTTTTCCCATGTCTGCTTTTAAGATTTCTCTTTGTCTTTGGTTTCACCAGTCTTAGAATGATTTATGTTGGTGTGGTTTTCTTTGTTCCGCTTGGGGTCCACAGAACTTCTTGAATCCATGGGTTGGTAACTGGAGTCGGTTTTAGGAATTTCCTGGCTATTGTCTCTTTAAATATTGCCTCTACCTCACTTTCTGTTTCTTTTCCTTTTAGGATTCTAATTGCATGAATGCTAGCTCTTTTCACTGAGTTTCAAATGCTCTTCTCTAGTTTTAATGTTTTGGTTTAGATATTCCAGTTCACTGACCCATCTTCTGTTGTATCTAATCTGCCATTTATGTGGATAACTCCTGGTGCTCCTCAAGTGTTGACACCCATCTCTAATCCACTTCCATCTTTCTCTCTCCGTATCCCTTCCTTCCCACAGCAAAGTCCAGGTCCTTTATGGGGGGACAGACCTCTTTGATTATGAGGTGCGCAGGACCTTCAACAACGACATGCTCCTGGCCTTCATCAGCAGCAGCTGCATCGCCGCCCTTGTTTACATCCTCACCTCCTGCTCAGGTAGGGCTTCTCTGAAGGTCTTGTCTCCTCCCAGTGTGCTCCTATCTGGACAAAGCCTTCCTTCTGAAGATGCCAGAAATAGTCATCTATCCACCATGTCAGAGCTACTGGGGAAGAGTGCTTAGAAATCACTTTCCAGTCCCAGGCAGGTAGGATCCCCAGTCCTGGGACCTCACACAGTTTAACCTTTTGCCTTTTGACCATATGTTCTTTCTGGGAACCTTGTTTGGAGGAGTCTGGAGTATTGGAACCCTATGGATTATTCTGCACACTGTTTTAGTCCCAAATCAGCCACATTTCTGTCCCCCAATGTACTTTGCCAATGCTACCTTCCCATGTACCCTAGTTCTTCATCCTATGTATTCAGTAGAAACTCTCTATTGCCCAAATGAAAATGAAAAAGACATTCATTCATCCATAAAACAAATATTCACTGAGCACCAACTATGTGCCTGATGCTCTGCAGTGTTTCCCAAAGTGTGGTATGCGTACCCCCAGGGGTATGGGAAGAGTTTGGTGGGGGTACGCGTTGCACCGGAGTTTGGTGGGGATATGCACTGCACTGTGCTTCGCCGCGCCTAATACTACGTTCTCATGTGTATGAGGGGTACTCAGCGTTACGAAAATTATAGAAGGGGTACACATATGTCAAAAGTTTGGGAAACTGCCGAGACCGGTTTGGCTCAATGGATAGAGCGTCGGCTTGGAGACTGAAGGGTCCCGGGTTCAATTCTGGTCAAGGGGCATGTACCTTGGTTGCGGGCATATCCCCAGTAGGGGGTGTGCAAGAGGCAGCTGACTGATGACTCTCTCATCGATGTTTCTAACTCTCTATCTCTCTCCCTTCCTCTCTGTACAAAATCAATAAAATATATTAAAAAAAAAAAAAAAGTTTGGGAAACTAAGGTTTCAGATATCCAGTGGTAAACATCATACTGCCTATCCCTACGGAGCCTTTGCCTACTGGAGTGACAGGCACAAAACAAATATGTCATGTTTGCAATTTCCTACTGGCCCTTGAGATAAGTTCTGCAGAGATGAGGGCCCTTGAGCAAAGTGCCTTACTCAGAGATGGCTTCCTCTGCCACTCAGGTCTCTGGTTTAGCCCCTTCTCTGGGTGTGGAGAACTCTGCTGGGCATGGAGGGGGTGCTGAGAGTACTCCATGGTGGGGGGCAGGTGTGAGGCACGACCAGCCACGGTCAGGGACACTAAAGAGGCCGTGTGTTCCATGGGGTCCTCTCTCTGTATTCCCTGCCCCTTGCCCCACCCAGTGTTCCTGTCCTTCTTCGGGATCGCCAGCATTGGCCTCAGCTGTCTGGTGGCACTCTTCCTGTACCACGTGGTCTTCGGTGTTCAGTACTTGGGCATCCTCAACGGCGTGGCTGCCTTCGTGATAGTGGGCATTGGTGAGTTGCTTCCGTTGCCACAGCGATGGGCTTCCCACTTGAGAACGCTGCCCCAGGAAGGGCCTTATCCCTGGCTGCAAAGCGTGGCTTCTGTGGAGTCTCCAGAAAGTCTGTCAGTCCTCGAAGCCTTGGAGTGAGATGTGTGGTGGGAGGTAGAATATGGGTGACGAGCAGAGCCCTGGCATATGGTGGTGGAACCCCAAAGGGTGGAAGGAGCAGGCGAGTATGCTGGATAGAGGTTAAGAATGGCGGGGGAACAAAAAGGTAGATACAGAGGCAGTAAAGCATCAAATAGAATGTCAGATTACAGCGGGAAGTTTAGGGAGAGGTGGGGGAGATAAGAGATAAACCAAAGGACCTGTATGCATGCATATAAGCATAACCAATGGACGCAAAACTCAGGAGGTTAAGGGCATGTATGGGAGTAGGGTTGGGGGGGACAATGGTAAGATATGTACACATGTTATACCTTAATAAATAAACAAGAGAGAAAAAGAACAGTTGGGGAAGTCTAGCAAAGGTACGGAGGCAAAGATTTGGAAGAAGGAACCTAGTTGTGGGGATGGGGTGTGGCCTGAGCATGGAGGATGGGGCTTGGACTCTTGATGGGTGGACCCAAGGGTCAGATGGGTCTTTCCAAACTCCAACCTGAGAAGCAGCATTGCCCTGGAGCCTGACCCTTCCGGGGTCCTCTCCGGGTTGGTCCAGGCCCCGCCGGGGTCTGGTCCTGGAGAGGGCAGTGACCCTGAGCCTGCCCGCTGGCCCGGGCTCCCTCCCGCAGGGGTGGACGATGTCTTTGTGTTCATCAACACCTACCGCCAGGCCACCCACCTGGAGGACCCGCAGCTTCGGATGATCCATACCATCCAGACGGCGGGCAAGGCCACCTTCTTCACCTCCCTGACCACGGCCGCTGCCTACGCAGCCAACGTCTTCTCCCAGGTGGGGTCCGCCCTCTGCCCCTGCCCCCGCCGACCCACCCCCCATACCTCCCCGGCCCCATTCTCTGCTCTTTGCTCTGCCCCTTCTCTCGTGGCCACACAGCCTTTTTCTCAGGCTCTCGCCATGTCTGCGGAATCCATTTTTGTTTCTTATCACAATTAACAGAACTCAACAAATGAGAAGATTGTAATAATCCAGATAAAATGTATTAGTGATGCTCATTCACAGTAACCCAGCATCTGCCCTGAAACGCATTTGGCAGTTTCCAAAGCTCTTTTGCATTGAGTCCTCGTGATACACTTATGGCAAAGGTATCATTACATCCCTGTTTTCCTAATAGATAAACGGAGGCCCAGAGAGGTCACGTGACTTCTCCAAGGTCACCCAGCTGGTGACTGGTGTCTCCTGGCCACGGAGCTCTTCCCACCCATGCGCTTGACACTGCGTTGTCATCGCTCACCTGGCCGTCCTTTGGCTGGTCCCATGCTCCCCTGGGCTCTGAGTTGGGCTCAGGAGAAGGCTCTGAGTTTGGCCAGACTGTTGGTGCAGATCAAACCTGGACGGCAGGGAGCCTGCTCGAGTTTCGGAGGGGTTTCGTCCCCTGGGCTGAGTATCCCATTCAGAAACCACTAGATGCTTTGGGATCATCTAGGCCTTCCTAGGGAACCACATCCGGGAAACAGGCAGAGCTGAGTCCAAAGCCCACCTCTGCCCTTTACTGGCTGTGTGATCTTAGGCAGGTTGTTAACCTCTCTGAGCCTCACTTTCCTCCTGTGTGGGTTAGGCCGGGACTGGAATAAGATGACTGTGAACGTGAAGGCTTGTCTGCTCGTTAACTCTGGTTCTCTTCTGTGCCGGTCCCTGTAACCATTCTGGAGCAGACCCATTGCTCCGAGGCCCCGGGCTCCCTAGTCCTGTCACGTGGCAGCATCCTCTCCCTTCCCCGTCACTTACACGGGGGCTGGTCTAACGGGGTGTGTCTGGCTCCCAGCCATTCATGTGAAGATGGTTATGGAGCCCTTGCTCTATGCCAGGCACTGTTCTAGGCAGCGGGCTGCAGTACAGACAAGAGCCTTCTCTCTCTCCCCTGTTGTGTCCCCTGGCACCAGGCCTTGCCTTCCGATGCCGTCCTGGGCCAGTGGCTGCCATCCCAGCAGCCGAGGCCTTCTCGTGCTGCCTTATAGGGGGTGGTCTGGGGTCCTTTGGCTGTAGAGTCTGCAGGCTCGGGGCTCCAGGCCTGACCAGCCCTGCATCCTTCTACCCCCTCATCTCTTCTCCTCTTCATCGCCAGATCCCAGCTGTCCATGATTTCGGCCTGTTCATGTCCCTCATTGTGTCCTGCTGCTGGCTGGCTGTGCTCTTCACCATGCCTGCTGCCCTGGGCATTTGGAGTCTTTACATGGCACCACTGGAGGGCGCTTGCCAGACCAGGTGAGCTGGGCAGGTGGGGTGGGGGGGGGGGGGGAGCTGTCCTCTCCCTGAATATCCTGAACTGTCCCTTTTGATTCGTTTTTGAGCACCTTTTGTCTGCCCAGTCCTATGCTGCTCAGGGGACAAGGAAGGAGAAGAGGGCCCTGTTGGGTGGTTCCCTCTTGTGACCATCTGCTGTGGGCCAGGAAGTGGGCAGAGTGCATTGGCACTAATCATATTGATACCCCCACCGTCCCCCAGGACCCTGGGAGCTGGTTGCCCTCATTCTGCCCATTTTACAGATGAGGAAACAAGGGCTTGGGGAAGTTAAGCAAGTTTCTCCAGCTCACCCGCTCAGTAGGCAGCAGAGCCGAATAAACCCAAATAAATCTGACCCTGGATCTGGGCTCTTAGTCACCATGTTAAATGCCCTCAAGACTCTGGTCCTGGTGGAGAAACAATATGTAGACACATGAGCTGTGTGCAACGTGGAACAGGTGAGGCCAGAGTTGCTGCGGGAAGTGAGAGCTCAGGATCTTGTGGGCTGGGTGGCCGGGGAAGGAGGGAAAGAGGGAAGGAAGGAGGGAGGGAGAAGAGAAAGGGGATGGAGTCTGGGAGTCCGGTGTCTACCTAGGCTTGGGTACTGAGGAATGAGGGAGGGTCTCTGGCCTGGGGCAGGGCACACAAAGGCAGGAACGTTGGGGGTCTGTGCCATGTCCACCTGACTGTGTGGGCCAGGGGTGGTAGGGAAGGGTTGGAGGCCCAGCACGGGGTTCAGACGTTACAGCTCATGGGTGGTGCGGCTGGGCACTGCCTAAGGCCACTCCAGCTGAGGCACTGCTGTGCCCTGTGGGCATTCACATTTGACTATTGCTTTATTTTTTTTTAAAATATTTTTATTGATTTTAGAGAGAGGGGAATGGAATGGAAAAGGATATGTAGATAGAAATGTCTGATGAGAGAGAAAAATCAATCCACTGCCTCCTTCACACCCTCTACTGGGGATCGAGCCCACAGCCTGGGAATGTGCCCTGACTGGGAATTGAACCAGTAACCTCCTGGTTCACGGGTTCATGCTTAACCACTAAGCCATAGCAGCTGGGCCTCATTTGACTATTTCTTTTCTTTTCTTTTTTTTTTTTTTAAATATATTTTATTTATTTTTCACAGAGAGGAAGGGAGAGGGAGAGCTAGAAACATCGATGAGAGAGAAATCCATCAGCTGCCCCCTGCACGCCTCACTGGGGATGTGCCCACAACCAAGGTACATGCCCTTGACCAGAATCGAACCTGGGACCCTTGAGTCCGCAAGCCGACACTCTATCCACTGAGCCACACCAGTCAGGGCATCATTTGACTCTTTCTATGACAGTTTTAGGACAGAGGGAAATGTCCTAGGAAGGATGCGTTTTTCTAATCTCTACAGAGATACCAACTATGCCCCCCATCTCCATCTTCACCCCCAACCCCCGGGTTGGGGCTGGGGACACAGTGGACGCAGTGGGCAGTCTTCCCAGCCCTGGGCTCCAGCCTCAGCCTCTCTGCTCGGCAGCTGGGACCTCGGGCGTAATACTGAGCCTCCCAGTGTCTCAGGTTGCTTGTTTGTTTTGGTAAAACGGGTGTAAATCCTGGGTGAGATTGCGGTGAGGATTCAGTGAGAGGATTCACCTGGGCTTACAGCCGCTGCCTGGCACAGAGCAATCTAGTTTGCCGGGCGCATTAGTCATGTTTCTAGGGTGAGCCTCGTCCCCTCCCCCCCACATTCTCTCCATCAAGGCCCTGGCCACATGCTCTGCCCTCCCCACTTCCTGCTCCTCCCGGGGTCAGGGCCCCAGGGCATGGCCAGCACAGCATGACCCTTGCTCCGGTCACCTGCATGTTGCCATCCTCTCTCCCTGGGAAATGGCTGTTGTCATTCTGTGTCCCTCAGAGGAATCGCTGGCTGATGGAAGGCAGCCGGGGCAGGTTTCTGGAGTCCGTGGTGAAGGTGCTGGGTGAGATGTCGGCGGTGGTGTGAGACCTGGTTCCTGTGGTCGCCAGGCCCCTGCCCCAGCCTCCCCGGACACCCAGACCATCGGGGCTCACCCCTCTCCCCACTCTCTCCGCAGCTGCCACCAGAAGTGTGGCCGCAAGAGCTCCCTGCACTTCCCCGGGGACGTGTTTGCCACTGCGGAGCGGGCGGGGGGCGGCCCCGCCCAGGGCCCCCTGCCCTACCTGGACGATGACATCCCCTTGCTGAACGTGGAGGAGGAGCCAGGTAAGAGGGGGCCTGGCCCCGGCCAGACCTGGGGCTGCCTCTGCCAGGGCAGTGCCTCTGGACAAGATGGCTTGAGGAAGGGCTGGCCCTGAGACAGGGGGCTGGACCAGCGGTCTGGGGGCTTCCATCGAGCACTGGGGCTTCCCCTGAGTGGGTGGAGACAGGCGGGCTTCAGCGCGGGTCTGGGCCAGGCCTCTCACGGGCCACCCCTCTGCCTGGCAGTGTCTCTGGAGCTGGGGGACGTGTCTTTGGTGTCTGTGCCCCCCACGGGCCTGCAGCCCTCCCCTGACAGGGGCAGCCGCGGGCAGCTCATCGCTCAGCTGCAGGAGCTGCTGCACCACTGGGTCCTGTGGTCAGCCGTCAAGAGCCGCTGGGTGATTGTGGGTAAGTGGACTCCCACCCTCCTTCCCCTCTATCTTAGAGCTCCTCCCCAGGGTCAGCGTGTGGGGAGCGCACGCCCCCAAAGGACACGTAGGCATTGGGATCCCACCCCATCCCGCAAGTGAGCGAGACGTCAGAGACCTGGGTTGGCATCCACCCTGGCTCTGAGCCTCACCTCCTTCCTGTGTCCAATGAAGCTGGTCCTCAACAGCGTTTGTTTACTGAGCACCTACTATGCGCCGGTCATCGTGTCGGGCAGTGCAGCAGAGCACTTGATGCTTGGGCTCTGGGGCTGGACCAACTTGGCTGAGCTGGACTCCTCCTCGTACCTACCCTGCGCTGGCTGTGCGACCTTGGCTGTGTCCGCCAGTCCGCGCCTCAGGTCCTGGGCCCATGACTGTAGATGATGACAGGGTCTGTCTCCTCAGGCCCGTGGAAGGACTGGCACGGTGCATGTAAAGCCCAGTGCATGGCACAGGTGCCATTGTTATTATCATCCTCATTACCAGGACAGTATATAGGGTGGTGTGCCAACACTGGACGAGCCAGCTCTTTGTCAACTAAATGCTCTAAGGGGCCGAAACCGGTTTGGCTCAGTACTGGAGCGTCGGTCTGCGGACTGAGAGGTCCCGGGTTCGATTCCTGTCAAGGGCATGTACCTTGGTTGCGGGCACATCCCCGGTGGGGGGTGTGCAGGAGGCAGCTGGTCGATGTTTCTCTCTCATTGACATTTCTAGCTCTCTATCTCTCTCCCTTCCTCTCTGTAAAAAAATCAATAAAATATATTTTAAAAAATAAATAAAAAAATAAATGCTCTAAGGGGGTGACTGCTTGTCCTGGAGTGTGAGCTTGTAGCTTCTCTCTGATTCCCAAGGGGCGCATAACAAGCAGCCCCCACCCCTGGAGGGCTGATCCCCAGCAAAACTCCACCCACAGGCTGGCACGCTGGGGTCTGCCCATTCCGTGGGAGACCCTGCCCCCTGCTCCCCCCATGAAGGGAGCAGCTCTTTGCCGAGGCTCTGGAGGCCTCGCCGGAGCCCCGGCCCCGGCCCCGCTGAGTGTGGCGTCCTTCCCTCGCAGGCCTCTTTGTCTCCATCCTCATCCTGTCCCTGGTGTTTGCCAGCCGGCTCCGCCCTGCCAGCCGGGCCCCCCTGCTCTTCCGGCCCGACACCAACATCCAGGTGCTGCTGGACCTCAAGTACAACCTGAGCGCTGAGGGCATCTCCTGTATCACCTGCTCAGGTGAGGGGTTCCCTCTGGGGGGCCCCGGCGGGGTCTCAAAGGGTGCTAGCCTGAACGATGTGTTTCCACGTTTCATCGAACCAATGCGTGCTGAGTGCCGGCTGCCTGGCGCTGGGGAGGCCGCGCTAGGTGGCACTGGCTTCCTCAGCTCAGGGAGCTCGTCCCACTGCTAGCGGCCAGCCATGGTCACAGTAGACCTGAGTTGTGATGGAGGAAGAGCAGGGCGACTGTGGAGCTCAGCATCATGGAAGGCTTCCTGGAAGAGGCAGCGTCTAAGCTGAGACTGGAAGAACAGGGAGGAGTTAGCCAGGCAGGCAGGGAGAGCATGCTGATGGTGGCCGTGGAGTCGGGAGACTCTGAGGGAGTGAAAGCCATAGGACTTGGTGACGGTGCGTGTCCAGGATGAGCAAGGTGGTGAGACACACATGTCTCCTCGCCTCAGAGGTGCCCGGGCTGGGCCCTCATTTCCCAGAGGAAGACCTGACGTCGGGGTCAGGGCAGGGGAAGGCGGCCCAAGGTCACCCAGCTCTGCCTGGGCCGTTGGAAAGCAGATGAGAAGATGCTTGGGCGACCGGGCCGGCTCCTGGGAGGAGAGGGCCGGCGGCTGTAATTGCCTTCATCTGATGAGGGCGTGTTCGGCTTCACTGGGCCTCCCCTCGTTAATGGCATCAGCCAAATGCGTGATAATTGACTGCGGCTCAGAGATGTGCCCAAGAGCCCCTCCTAGATTGGAGCCAGTCCGGGCCACAGCCCCGGCCCTCTCCTGCCGCTGGCACGCACATTCAGCTCCGTGATCACCGCCCCTCAGGGCCAGGAAGCCATGAGCCGCGGCCACTCCAGTCACAGAGGGACAAACCCCAGGGTGACCCCGACGTTCCCGGGAGCATCTGGAGAAGGACCAGGACCCCAGTCAGAGCCCAGCCCCCAGCCTCTTCTGCCTCGTAGCTCTCCGGACTGCCTCTTAAAGGGACCCCTCCTGATTGTAGCAAAAGGATTTTTGGCTTTCGGGGCAGGCAAGCCCACACCTTACTGAGGCCCTCAGCCTCTCAGCTCCTCTGCAGGCCCCGCAACCTCTCTGACCCTCTGCTTTCTTCCCACCCAGTGGGGTTAACAACAGCAACCGCCTAGGACTGTGGTCGGCAAACTGCGGCTCACCAGCCTCATGCGGCTCTTTGGCCCCTTGAGTGTGGCTCTTCCACAAAATACCACGGCCTGGGCAAGTCTATGTTGAAGAAGTGGTGTTAGTTAGAAGAAGTTTAAGTTTAAAAAATGTGGCTCTCCAAAGAAATTTCCATCGTTATACTGATGATATTTGGCTCTGTTGACTAAAGAGTTTGCCGACCACTGTCCTAGGAGCATTGTGAGGATTACATTTTTGGAGATGTGACGTTTCTTTCATTAAAAAAAACAAAACACAGCCGAAACGGGTTTAGCTCAATGGATAGAGCGTCCGCTTGGGGACTGACGGGTCCCGGGTTCGATTCCAGTCAGGGGCATGTACCTTGGTTGCGGGCATATCCCCAGTGGGGTGTGTGCAAGAGGCAGCTGATCAATGACTCTCTCTCATCGATGTTTCTAACTCTCTATCTCTCTCCCTTCCTCTCTGTACAAAATCAATAAAATATATTTTTTAAAAAGGAACAGCCAAAACTGGTTTGGCTCAGTGGATAGAGCGTTGGCCTGCAGACTGAAGGGTCCCAGGTTCGATTCCAGTCAAGGGCATGTACCTTGGTCGCAGGCACATCCCCAGTAGGGGGTGTGCGGGAGGCAGCTGATTGATGTTTTTCTCTCATAGATATTTCTGACTTTCTATCTCTCTCCCTTCCTCTCTGTAAAAAAAATTAATTAAAAAATATTTTTTAAAATAAAATAAATAAAAAACAAAACCCATGTGCAGTGCCTGCGAGCCGGGAGCGTTCCATTTCTAGCTGCTCCTGGTGTGTGCTCTCAGAGCATCTATCCCCGGCCAAGAGTGCGAGAAGCGGCGTCCGGCCTGCTCCTCAGCCCGCTCTGGAGGTGCCGTGTCACCCCTCTGACCGGAGGGGAGTGAGGCCGGCAAGGAGGAGGGGGAAGCTTCCGGTGGCTCTGGCTGTCGGGGCCTTTCTCTTGCCTTAAGATTCCTGTACATTCAGTATTTGATGTCTTTTTTTATTTTTTAGTTCCACTTAATTCCTCTCAGACCCCTGACACTCCCTCTCCCCGAGCTGAGGGCCCTGGGCCCCACATCTGTGGGGTCGTCACCGATCCGCCGGGCCCAGCAGGGTGGCCCTGCTGCTGACCCAGCTCGGGGCGGGCAGGTCTGTTCCAGGAGAAGCCGCACAGCCTGCAGAACAACATCCGCACGTCCCTGGAGAAGAGGAAGCGGGGCTCCGGGGTCCTGTGGGCCGGCCGGCCGGAGGTCACCCCGCAGGGTCAGTGGGCGTGGGGTCTGCCCGGGGTGGGGGTGCCGGGAGACCTGCCGGTGGGAGGGCCTGGGAGCCCTGTGAGGAGAGAAGGCTGTGGGACTGGAGCCTATGTTCTTGGGTCGCCGTGGAGGGGTTGGGTGGTCGGTGGACTCAGGGTGAACCGGGCTCTCCGCCACTGTCCCCCCAGCTGTCCCAGCCAGACAGTGGGCTCCCCTGCCACCGTCCAGCCCAGCCTGAGGTGCCCCATGAACCCGCCCTGTGCACCAGACCCATCCCGAGTTGGGGAGGGCAGGGCGCCCCGACGCTGGGGCCTCCATCAGAGCCGGGGTGCTAGGACACGTGTGGGAATTAAGTGCCCCACAGGGCAGTTCTGTATGACCGTGGTCACCCCATCGGTGCCCACCATTGTCCTTGCCAGCGCCAGCTCCCCGTTCACACTGCTCCTATCACTGGTCACTCACTCCTATCACTGGTCACTCACTCCCCTAGTCCATGCCCACACATCCCCACCACCAACTTCCCCTCGCTGCCAGTCCCTTCGCCCATGCCACCTCATCCCCAATGTCCATGCAGCCACCTCATCCTGGTGCCACCACCAAGGTCAAGCCAGCGTTCCTCAGGCAGCAGAGGGAGGACTGCTCCAGGGTCAGGGGGAGCCAGTCCCGGTAACCCCACCCCCTTCGCCCTCCTTTATCCCCCCAGACGCCCCAGGCACCGTGTATGTGTCCAAGGTGAAGAGTCAAGGCCGCCCGGCTGTCTACAGGTTCTCCCTCAACGCCAGCCTGCCTGCCCCCTGGCAGGTCGTGTCCCCTGGGGACGGGGAGGTGCCCTCCTTCCAGGTAAGCCCGGGCCGCCGTGAAGCGAGCCGCCACTCTGCCAGGGGAGGGGCCCTGGCCACGCAGGGACGGGGAGGGGGTCTGTGAGGCGGGAGCTACTGCAGGCAGATGAGGAGTCTCTCCCGCCAGCAGCCAGGACTGTGGCAGGGACCCACAGAGTGGCGAGAGCATGGGCTACCGAGTCAGCCTGGGTTCGAGTCATGGCTCTGCCATGTATATACTCTGTGTGTCTTTGGGCTGATGACTTAGTCTCTCTGAGCCTCAGTTTTCTCATCTGCGAAATGGGGATATGAAAAGTAGCAGCCAGGGTTGCTGGAGGTGCGTGAGGTAAGGCCTGTGCAATGCGTGCCATCTGGAGCCTCGTAAAGTGCTCAGTGAATGGAGCTACCAGTTAGATGGTTCTGGGCAGCTGCTCCGGAGCCCCCAAGGCCAGCCCAGGCCTCCAGCCTTCCTTTCGAGGAATCATTTGTGTTTCTTCAACTGTTACACCCTTCAAAGGGCCACTTAGCACGCGGCAGCACACTTGTCCATTTGAAAGACGAGGTGTCGGAGGCATTTCCTGACTCTGAGTCTTTGCTGTTCCCGCTAGGGAGCTAGAAAGCCCTCCTTCCAGCCTAATCTGCTGACGCCTCACTCAGCGCTCCACATAAGCATCAGCTGCCCATGGAGCCCTGTGCGGCCAGCCTTTTTGGTCTGCCCTCCTCTTGCCCTGCCCCTCTATCCTGTCTTATCTTATTGTCACGATTGTTTACTTCCTTAAGAGAATCTAAAACTCTGGTGATCGGCAGGCCGTGAGGGCAGGGACCACACCCATCTTGCTCACTGTATGCTCAGGGCCTGGCATGAATAAATGCCCAGCTGAAGGAAAGACTGAGGCCCAGAGAGGGCAGGGAGGATTTTCCCAGCCTTCCAACTCGAACCCAGGCTTCCTGTGCTTCCGCCCAAAGCCCTCTCGTCCATCTGGGGGGCGGGACGGGGTGGGGCAGGGTGAGGAGGGAGGGGCCGGAGCGTGAGGCTGGGCGCGGGGCCGAGGCGGCCTCCCGGAGGGAGTCACGTGTCTTGTCTCTGTCGATCCACTGCTTAGGTGTATAGAGCGCCTTTTGGTAACTTCACCAGGAAGCTGACCGCTTGTATGTCTACAGTAGGGCAGCTCCAGGCGGCGAGCCCCTCCCGCAGGTGGATGGTGACGACCTTGGCCTGCGACGCCAAGCGGGGCTGGAAGTTCGACTTCAGCTTCTACGTGGCCTCCAAGGAGCAGCAGCACACCCGGTGAGGCCTAACAGAGAGGCTGCTTCCATGGGCCCGGCCCCCTTCCCTCCCCCCACTCCCCCCTACCCTTCACCCCTGATCCCCTCAGCCAGCAGGTGCCTTTAAGAAACCCATGTCCCTTTCCACACACCTGCTCAGATATGTCTCTGCCCAGGATAGGGGTATGGGGACACCAGCAGAGATGGCAGCATGGCCTGCTCCCATCTGCCCACCCCCCTTGATGGGCCAACTTCTTGAAGATCAGGACTCCCCCCCAGGAGCGAGTGTCCCAGACCACAGCTCCTCCCCCAGTTAAATAGCCACACTGGTCTCTCCCCGCTCTCTGGCCCCATCACCACCCGGGATCTTACTGATCTGCTGGCGCGTCGCCTGCCTCCCCTCTGGAGCCCGGCGCACCGGCAGCGGGTGCTGTTGGTCCAGGCTGTGCCCCCAGCACAGTGCCGGCACGTAGCGGGCGCTCCACAAACACTGATAGCTGGCTGCTGAATGGATCCACTCTGCACTTCCTCTCCCGGGCACGTCAGCACTCTCAGTACAGAACGAATTCAGGAAATAGTTAATGTCCCTCCCCAGGCCGCAAGGTGGCAGGTGTTTCCCTGCTGTACGCTCAGACCCTGCCTATGTTTGGCTTGACCTAAGTGCCCCAAGTGCTTCACTGCATTCTGTGCCTTGGGTATCCTGAGGGAGCTGGGAGCAGCTGGGGGTGCCTGGAGCCAGCTGGGGGCATCCTGAGGCAGCTGGGGGCCTCTGGAGCCAGCTGGGGGCATCCCGAGGCAGCTGGGGGTGTCTTCCCAGGTTCCCTCCCGAGTTCTAGGCCAGGGCCCCGCATGCACTTGTCATTGAGCTGTAGCAGCAGAGGGTCTGCTGTTCTCCGTCCATTCATTTAGCAAAGGCTGCACACCCCCGGGCCGGCGGCGTGCAGGTGCTGGGGTACAGGGGTGCAGTGGTGAACACGACAGCTGCCCGCTGCCCTCGGGCTCACTAGCGGGAGGCAGCCGCTAACAAGTGAACCTCGATGGCATTACAAATTATGACGTGAGTTCTGACAGCGGCGCCAGGCTGTCTGGGTCTAGAGAGCGGTGCGGGCCTGCTCAGGGACACCCGGGCTGTGGTCTCTGGCGGCCTGGCCCGGGACATCAGCCCCCACGCAAGGCCCAGACCCTCCTGGGACAGGGGTGAGGCGGGAGGCAGGGGATGGCCAGGTGGGCTTGCTGGCCCTTCCTCCAGGCACCTAGGCTCAGAGATGGGGGGTCCCTCTGCCCACCCTCCCTGAGCCCAGGTCTGGGCTCACTCTGCATGTACACAGCAGCCAGGAACTAAGGCAGGTTTCCTGGATGAGCTTAGAACATTCTAGAAAGAACCGTGAGCTACATCAGGTCCAGTGGCCAGCCAGCTGACCACAGAACCCTTTCTTCACGATAGAATCTTGAGTCCTCTTAACTGTTTCGGTTGAGGTGAGGAGGTTCAGGGAGCTTCTGAGTCCCTTCAGGGACCCTCAAGGCTGGCCCTGGACCCCTCTGTGAACTCTTGCACCCCCTAGAGGGCAGTTTGGAAACTGGTCCCTCCACCCCTCAGGCCACAGGTGGGGAGACACTCATGTAGGGGAAGGGCCTTGTGCAGGCCCATACAGTGGGCTTTGGCCGGGGCTGGACTAGAACTGGCCTCCAATCCCCAACCCCTAACCCCCAACTGGAGACCAAATCCCTGTGCTGGGGGAGCCCCCATCCATCCCCTGCATTCTTCCAGCCTGCACATGGCCACACTTGCCTCGCCTCCTCGAGTCCTCCCAACCTCTATGGCCTCAGTTCCAGCCTCCCTGGCTTCAGTCCCAGCCTCCTTGGCCTCCGTTCCAGCCTCCCTGGCCTCAGTACCGCCCTCCCTGGCCTCAGTCCCATCCTCCCTGGCCTTAGTCTGGCCTCCCCAAGTCCTCCCAGCCTCCCTGGCCTCAGTTCCATCCTTCCTGGCCTCATTCCTGGCCTCTCTGGCTTCAGACCCGACCTCCCAGGCCTCAGTCCGGCCTCCCTGGCCTCAGTCCGGCCTCCTTGCCTCCACAGGAAGCTGTACTTCGCCCAGTACCACAGGCCGCCTTTCCACGGGCGCGTGTGCGCGACCCCTCCCGGCTGCCTGCTCAGCTCCAGCCCTGACGGGCCCACCAAAGGCTTCTTCTATGTGCCCAGTGAGAAAGGTACTTATGGGGAGACCTCAGGGACCTGGGGGGCCGGGCCCGCCTCCGCTACAACTGTGCCTCCCCGCAGGGCCCAGGGCCCGCCTCTCGGCCACCTTCGGCTTCAACCCCTGCGTGAACACGGGCTGCGGGAAGCCGGCGGCGCGGCCGCTGGTGGACACGGGCGCCATGGTCTTCGTGGTCTTCGGCATCCTTGGCATCAACCGCACTCGACAGGTGGACAACCACGTCATCGGAGACCCGGTACGTGGACCAGGCGCCCAAGGGAAGGGCCCGGAGACCAGCCCTGAGGCCACCTCCCGCCCCCCCTTCCCCAGCCCTCCACACGCCCTCCCCAGGCGGACAGGACCCCCACAGCCCTCGCTGTCATTTCCTTTGAGGTCTGAGCAGAGCTGAGGTCTCAGAATCACCCAAGGATCTGAGTACACTGGGGGTCTGAGTTGGCTGTCCCTCACCGTCGGGGATGGAGATGGAGATGGAGATAACACACGTGCAAACTGCCTGCCCTCCGGCTGCAGGGGGTCCCCTCTCCCCTCGTCCGCATCTGTGTTCCGCGCTGGGCTCTCAGGCATTTGAAGGGAGGAAGCCGGTGGGGCTGTGGGGACGTGTGCTCCTGGCTCGCAGTGGGCGCCGGCACGTGGTAGGAAGGACTGGATGCAGCAGGATCGGGCCGCTACCTGGAGCAGTCAGTGCACGTGCGAGTCCAGCTCGGACAGGAGGCATTTAGGGAGCAGGGGTGCCAGGGATCTGTCTGCTCGGGCCAGCCCGGGAGCTGCGGTGCTCAGAGGAGGCTGGGAGAACAGGCCACCTGCCAGGGAGGACGTGAGGGCTGTGGCTGTGGGTAGGGGGAGGAGAAAGCAGGGAGCCTGGGGAGGGCGCTGTGAGTGTCAGCCAGGAGGTGAGGCTAAGGGCCGTGGGGGGTGGGCAGTAAGGGAAGGGCAGTAAGGGAAGGACCACGGGTGACCCACAGAGGGATCCAGCTCGCTGGCCCCCTCAGTACTGGGGACCCCCAAGACGGCGTTCCCGGCTCACTGAGCGGCCTGCGCCGCTTGTGTCTCCTTGGGAAAGGGCAGCGTCGTCTATGACAGCGGCTTTGACCTCTTCAAAGAAATTGGGCACCTGTGTCGCCTCTGCAAGGCCATCGCGGGGAACCTGGAGCTGGTGAAGCCGGGCGGGGCCCAGTGCCTGCCCTCAGGTGTGTGGGGAGCCAGGCTCTTGGAGGGAGGAAGGGCTGGGGGACCGGGGCATCGGCAGACATGCATGTGTGCTTACGTGTCCGCCCTGGGGTCGGGGGGGGGGGGGTGCGAACATTTGTGTGTCTCCCTGAAGAGAACGGGGTCACGTGTGAATGTGCATTGGCCCAGAGGTGCGATGTGTGGCGCCGTGTGTGGTGTGTGTGGGCACACGTGCAGGAGTAGGTTTCCCAAAAGTAGGGGCACGGGCTGGCACAGGTGCCCCCAGGCCTCCCTGAGAGGGCACAAGACGTCATACTCCACCCTGGGGGTAGGGGGCTGTTGTGGGTTCCCCGTGACGTTGCCAATGGTCACACACACTTGAAACCTGGAGGTTAGAGGGAGGGCAGGTACCCTTCCCACACGCACACACACAGGTGAGCACGCGTGCGCGGTGGCAGGGGCGGCCTGGGTGGGGCGCCCTCCCAGGTAACGGCCTCCCTCCCCCTCCTCCCCGCAGGCTACAGCATCTCCGCCTTCCTGCAGATGCTGCACCCCGAGTGCAAGGAGCTGCCCGAGCCCAACCTGCTGCCGGGGCAGCTGTCGCACGGCGCCGTGGGCGTCAAGGAGGGGCGCGTGCAGTGGATCTCCATGGCCTTCGAGTCGGTGAGCCCCGTGGCCCCCGTGCGTCCCCTCTGGCCCCTGGCCCTGGCCTAGAGCAGAGCGGCTGCCCTCCAGAAGGGGATACAGGCCCTGGGGGTGAGCTCAGGTGGAGGCCGAACCACAGAGCCGCAGAGCTCGGTTTTTCTTTCTTTTTTTCTTTCTTTTTTTAATCCTGATCCGAGGATATTTTCCCACTGGTTTGTAGAGAGAGTGGGGGAGAGAAGGAAAGACAGAGAGAGACATCGATGTGAGAGAAACACACGGATTGGTTGCCTCCTGCATGAGCCCTGACCAGGTCCCAGGCCGGGGAGGAGCCTGAAACTGAGGCATGTGCTCTTGACCGGAATCGAACTCAGGACCCTTTGGTCTACAGGCCGGTGCTCTACCCACTGAGCAACACCGGCCAGTGCAGAACTCAGCCTTTCTACATGCAGGCGGCCAGCAGCTCCCTGCACCCTCCCTCCCCACCGTGTGTGATGACACGTGTGGTGTGTGTGGGTCTAGCTGTTTGGCAGCCTCTGGGCTGCAGGGGCAGGTAGGGGCATGGGCTGGGGAAAGAGCAGGATGCTCCCCTCTGCCATGTGGGGGCTCCCCCTACAGGGGCTGGAAGCCTGGGGACTGGCCATCCCATAGTTCACTGCTTCCTCTCACCCCGACACTCCTGGGCTCCGCCCCAGGAGGCACACGCACGCGCGCACACACATGCACGCGCGCACACACGATAGACACACACATGCACAGACATGCACATGCGTGCCCTGGACATCTGCCGGCCTTGCCCAGCTGCCCTGCTGCCTCCCTGCTGAGACCTGGGCCCAGTCCTGCCTGACCCCGGTGGGCTCCGTGTCCCTGAGCAAATAACTCGTCCCCTGTGGCCTCAAGTGCGTCTAGAGAACAGGGTTACCGGTCCCTGTCCTCCGGGGCCCTGTGAAGCAGCCGCGCCACCACGTGAGGGCAATGGGGAGTGAGAATGACAGTGACACGGGCACAAGTGGCAGCCGATTCTTGTTCTCTGTTCTCAGGGAGCAGAACTGGCCGGTGAGATCATACAGGGGAAAGGTCCAAAGAGGGTGAATGCCGTGTGTTCCCTTCCCCAGAGCCAGGCCGTGTGAGCTGGACAGGCCACACTCTGCCTCCCTGGACTCAGTCCAGCCAGGAGATGGGCAGGCTGATGGGCAGTGACAAGAGCTATGATTCATGGACCAGAGTTCGGGTCCCCTCCTGCTCGGGGGCAGCAGGCCATTCTCCGACCCTGAATTAGGCCACTGAAGAAGAAATAATAGGTTTCTCTCAATAGGTTTCTTGCAGAGGGCAGAGGTTGCCTATCTTGGGGTATCAAGGAAGGCTTCCTGGAGGAGGCAGGACATAGAGAGCCTTGAAGGATGAGTGGAGCTGGCTTGCAGGCCGAGGGTGGGACACGAAACAGGGGCGCTGGGCACTGTGGTGGCTGTGGGAACGGGGCAGCGACTTTGTGCCCTGGGACCGGCCACGGCTGTAAGAATCACACGTGTCCCCAGAAGCCGGTAGGCGGGCCATCATCCTGGATCGGCTCGCCCTTCACTCCCCACAGATAACATGCTCTGTTCGCAGGTGGCCAAGGACTGGCTGCCTCTGCCCCGGAAGAGCCAGCCGCAGCCTGAGAAGGGGGAGGGGGCCACAGCCACCGCCCATCTCACTGGTCGTGTCCCCCACAGACCACGTACAAGGGCAAGTCCTCCTTCCAGACCTACTCGGACTACCTGCGCTGGGAGAGCTTCCTGCAGCAGCAGCTGCACACCTTCCCCGAGGGCTCGGCCCTGCGCCGCGGCTTCCAGACCTGCGAGCACTGGAAGCAGATCTTCATGGAGATCATAGGCGAGCAGCTCCCGGCCCCCTCTCACCTCCCCCCTCCACGCCCCCAGCTCCCGGTGGGATGGGTGGTGGCAGCGGACAGGGAGGTGACCGGGCAGGGCGGGCAGGCCGTGGCCATTCTGAGCCATGCTTGTCATCCTCTCCCTCCTGGCCTAGAGCCCTGGAGAGAAACCGGAAGGACCCAGTGGCCGGGAACACCTATCAGCAGCCAGAGTTTGGTCCCCCCTCTCAGGGCATCTGGCCGCACTCTCTGAGTCTGACAGGCCACCTCGAAAGGAAGAGCAGCAGCCATTGGCGGCCTGGTATCATTTCCGGGCCAGGCCCTGTGCTCCTGGCCTGCGCTATCTCTTTTAAATATAGATATATATACTTTATTGATTTCAGAGAGGAAGGGAGAGAGAGAAAAAATCATCAATGATGAGAGAATCATTGGTCAGCTGCCTCCTGCACGCCCCATATAGGATTGAGCCCGCAACCCAGGCATGTGCCCCGACCAGGAATCACACCGTGACCTCCTGGTTCATAGGTCGATGCTCAACCACTGAGCCACACCAGCCGGGCTGTGCTATCTCTTTAAACTCCAGATGAGGCCTGTGGGTTTAAATACTGTCATTACCCCATTTTACAGATGAAGAAATGGGGGCTCCGAGAGGTCAAGTGGCTTTCCCAGAGTGACACAGCCAGCAGGGACTGTGCCCCGGGTTGAATCCCTGTGACTTCTGAACTCTGAGGGTGGGGGAGGCTCGTGGGTGCCCCACCTCGCAGCCCGGCTGAGGACCCCCTCTGTCCCCTTGCAGGGGTGCAGAGTGCCCTGTACGGCCTGGCCCTCTCCTTGCTCATCTGTGTGGCCGCGGTGGCCGTGTTCACCACCCACGTGCTGCTCCTGCTGCCGGTGCTCCTGAGCATCCTGGGTAAGTGGCCGGGGTCCCATCAGCAGCTTTCTCTCAGCCCTTAACTGTCACATCCCCAGAGGTGGCTTCCTGACCAACCCCACCTGGCAAAGTGCCCTCTGCTCGGTGCTGCCTGGGCGACAGTGGTTCGTAGCTTCGGGCCCAGAGACCCCCAGTGCACTGGGTCCATCCCCCGGCTCCCTCTGGCCCTGGCCCTCCTGCCACCAGAGGTGGGGGCTCACCCCATCCCCCGGGGGCCTTCTGAATCCCCCCAGCACCCTCCGGGGCTGTGTGGCAGGGCAGGTCTGAGCCGCTGCCTGCTTCCCCGCCCCACAGGCATCGTCTGCCTTGTGGTGACCATCATGTACTGGAGCGGCTGGGAGATGGGCGCCGTGGAGGCCATCTCGCTGTCCATCCTCGTCGGCTCCTCCGTGGACTACTGCGTCCACCTGGTCGAGGGCTACCTGCTGGCCGGAGAGAACCTGCCGCCCCACCAGGCCGAGGTGAGCAGCCCGCCTGCCTTACAGCTCCCCGTACGCCTTCCCCCGCGGTGCAGCGGAGGGACACCCTCGTGCCTGAGCCCCACCAGGGTGTGTTCTAGAAGCTGTGGCTCCCAGGGCCCTTCCCCCAGGGGACGTGAGCTCCCAGGCAGCTCCCCCAGCCAGCCCTCCGCCTCCCTAAGTGGGCGTGAGGGGTTGGACCAGGCGGCATCCAAGGGCCTTTCCTGCTTCTCGGCCCCCCAGTCCGTGTCTCGGCCTGCAGCCGGGGGAGCAGGGCTGGGCCCTCGTTCATGACCCCGAGGCCGCCAGCTGGCCTTGCTGGGTTCGTGAGAACATGCCCTTGACTCGGTGCCAGACACAGCTCTGGGCCATAAACTCCTTGTTGTATCCTTGTCCGGAACTGTACTGATGTGAAAACACAAGTAAATTATTTATACATGTAGCTGCTTTTGGTCAAAAGAAGGACATCAGTGCCAGTTAGGGTTCCCATTTATGAGGACCTACTGTGCAGATCGTCAGCATCTTGGTTGTCATAGCAGCACTTACTGCCTCCCCACTGTGCATGGAGCTGCTGTGGTAGAACCCTGTCATCTGCACCCCCAACCCTGTGGAGTAGCCGCTATAGTCACCCCACTTACGGATGCAGAACTGGGGGCTCCCCGGGGCAGGGCTGGCCTTGCAGGGGTGCACGTTTACCCAGCATCCACAACCCCCCCCCAGCCCTGGCCCCAGGCAGGGAGGGACGCCGCGCCACGTCCGGTCCCCGCCCCCAGCTCTGCTCTCCCCGCACCCAGGACGCCCACTCGCAGCGCCAGTGGCGGACGCTGGAGGCCGTGCGGCACGTGGGCGTGGCCATCGTGTCCAGTGCCCTCACCACAGTCATCGCCACGGTGCCCCTCTTCTTCTGCATCATCGCCCCGTTCGCCAAGTTCGGCAAGATCGTCGCGCTCAACACGGGCGTGTCCATCCTCTACACGCTCACGGTCAGCACGGCCCTGCTGGGCATCATGGCGCCCGGCTCCTTCACCCGGACCAGGACTTCCTTCCTCAAGGCCCTGGGCGCCGTGCTGCTGGCGGGGGCGCTGGGGCTGAGCGCCTGCCTCCTGCTCCTGTGGAGCGGCTACAAGATCCCCCTGCCCAACGGGACCTCCCTCTAGCCCTGGTGCCGGGCCCTGACTTGCTCGCTTCGGCCCAGCGGACGGAGATGAGACCCTGGTCCTGTGACCCCAGAGGGACTCTGTTCCCCAGCTCGGCTCCAGCTAGCTTTGTTCCCGCCCACCAGGCCCGCGCTGCCTTCATCCCAGTGGCCAGCCGGAGCTGGGTGGGGAAGCCGGCTGCCACCCTGCCCTGCCAGGCTGCTGGCAGCCACACTGGGTTCCCCCTGACAGCAGGAGAAGCCAGCCCTCCTCCCATGCCTCCCTGGTCACCACGGAGGTCTCCCTCTCCCGCTGCTCACCACTCTGAGGTGGGCGTTGCCGGGCTCCCATTCTACAGATGGGAAAACCGAGGCACCGGAAGGCAACGTGGCTGACCTGTAGCTGGGTCGGTGGCAGAGCCAGCGCTAGTTCCTGAGCCCCATGCCTCCCTTGGGGGCTTTGCAGGAAGAGCAAGCACAGTGATTTCAAGGGCAGGGGCCTCGGATACCCCCGTCCCTCCTCCCCCACTTGAGCTTTACTACTAGGCCAGCGCCGGGCACTCCGTGGTCCTCCCCAGGCCGTTTGGTCCTGGCCGGAGAGGACGTAGGGGCCAGCCTGGGGTTCTGCATGCCCTACCCTTGCCCCCGGCCTTACAGGCCCTTGTAAGGCCCTTCCCGAGGGCTTCGTGGCCCCAGCACAACCTTCCTTACGGAGCCGCCGTCTCCGACCTGACTCTGGGGGTGGGACCGGGGAAGGGGCAGCCCCCGGGAGGCCAGCTGGCCGTGCCCGCTGCCCGCTCACAGCAGATGGTTCCTATTAAAGTGAAATGAAACCGCAGACCGCCGCCACTAACACAAGGATTTTAAGCACCACCTGCTCCATCACGTTTTTCAGGTTGAAATGACTTAAGTGTCCGCATGCGGCCCGGAGCCTGACACGGGGGTGGGGCTGGCCTGGGAGCAGACCACACAGCCCTGAGGGGCTGATCAGGATTCAGGGAGTCCTACCCAGGGCTCCGGCAGCCCCCTCGTGTGTAGGGGTGGGGGGGCACAGCTGTGGGACTGACAGCTCCCCCCACTTTTTCCACTCCAGGAAGCTTGTGGGAGGAGGCCAGGTGGGAAGGGAAGGGCGAAGGAGGGGCTGGCCAGTGGACAAGTCATTCCAGGGGTTGAGAAAAAGGACTGCCATCTCCAGTCCCTGTCCGGAGACCTTCCCAATAACCTCGTTGTAATGTGGAGGCAGAGCTATTTGCATATCACTTGCATGCCTTCCAGATGAGGCCCATTAGCCCGTGTCCTCTTCCTTCCCCTTGGCCTCTCTGTCTGCCCAGAGCGTTGTGAGTTGTTAGGTCGGCAGGTCAAGGGCAGAGGAAGCCAGGCCTGGGGTCACTGTCACCTCACCCCCAGGTCATAACCTTCCTGGGAGCCGGCTTCCCATCTTACAGCGGAGCAGCCCGGGGCCCCAAGAGGGGACAGCAGTGCAAGCAGCACACCACTAGGCAGCCTCCGGCAGGGCCCCACCCCCTCCGCCTGCCTGCCAGCCTCACCCTCTGCGCTGGCATTCTCACTCCTGAGCTCTCCCTGTCCTGGCCCTCAGGCCCTGCGTAGTGATGGCTCTGCCCAGCTCCCCGCAGGGAAGTCTCCCTCCCAGGGGCAGGGTCCTGGCAGGGCTGGGGTGCGGATGTGGGGGACGCTTTGGGAACTCCACAGAACTCTGGGCGCACGGCCGCCTGCCTGCTGGCCTGCACATAAAGGCCCCTTCGTTCTGGGTGTGAATGTCGCACCACAGGTCCCAGGGGCAGTCCCTCCTGTGAAGAGAACCTTGGCCTTGCTTTGCTGCGGCTGCTCAGCTCCTGGTCTTAATGAGCTTCCGCTGAGCGTTAACGAGGTGCTCTCCGTTACCTCTGCATAGCAGCGAGTGGGCTCTGCTGGCATTCAGGGGGGGTGGGGGTGGGGCAGAGAGACCTCTGTTCCCGCCCCCCCAGCCCCCCAGGCAAAGGTCCCCGGGCTCCCTGCTTTCCTCTGCCCCTCAGGGATCTCGAGGGCCAGCTGTCTTGGAGTGCCTCCCCTGTCCCAGGCCCCACGCGTGCACTCAGGATCCTGCCGGCATTCCTCGGAAGGGAGGGGGTTTATCCGATTTCACCACTAAGGAAACTGAAGCCAGAGACGTGAAGCCGCTGGCTTAAGTGTGTGCTCTCCCCACACAGACTCCCAGCACACAGCGAGATCTGACTGGCAGCAGCAGCCAGGGCAGGCCAGCCGGGCAGCCGGGGTCCTCCCGGCACCGGTCACACCCCCGCCTGCTCCTCTGAGAGGAAGGGACCCAGCCCTAGAATTGGGAGCCTTAGCTCCAGCCCCGCCTGGGTGACCCTCATCACGCCACCGACACTGATTGAACCCCCTGCAAAATGGGGCCGGGGGTCAGACCCCGTCCACTGCTGTGCTGCTGGATTTGATTCTAAAAGTAAGCCATCCCAGGGCCACCACCAGGGGCCACCCCCCCCTCCCCCCCGAGGCTCTCTCATTCCCATCATTGTTCACGTCCCAGAGCAGGAGAGTGCTCATTGGAGCGGCTGTCCATCCATTTGTTTACTCAACTACTGTTGACCGAGCACCCACTACCAGGCCCTGTGTCCGTCCGCAGTGATACGAGGGAATAAGACCCTGACCTCAGAGGCCTTGTAGTCAAGGCCGGGAAAAGAACGTGAATAAAAGGATTCCTTAAATATATAATCACAAACCAGAGGATTTGGAGGGAGAAACTCGAGGGGTGAGGGCATGTGGACTGGCTGGCAGAGGGGTCCCTGGGGAAGTGGCTTCTGTGCTGAGATTTAAAGGAGCAGGGCAAGTTTGCAGCCTCTGGGGAATGGACCCCATCACACACAGGCCTTCTTGAGCCCAAAAAGCACAGGCTGGTGGTTAGGCATGAAAGAAGGGTCCCGTAAGTTAGAGGGGATGAAGCTGGAGCCTTTGGGGCAGTGGACAGGGAAAGGGACAGCTCACGGGCCAGGAGAGGGCATCCGGTCGCCGCAGGTGCCTGGCACCCATGCCTCCCCGGCTCAGAGCCACAGCCCACCCCACAGAGTAAACGGAGAGCGACCAGGAGGGCTTGTGAGTGGCCTCTGCGGGGATTCTCAGACGGGCCTCGTCACTGTCGCTGCAGAGAAAGTTGCCAGGATCAGCTGAGCCTCCTGTTCCTCCAGGGGGGTCCGGAGCGGCCTTCCCACCGCTCCCCGGCTAAACACCGGTGCCTGTGGCTCTCAGGGCTCAGCGCAGTCCTGTGAAATGCCTGTCGCTCCGAACAGACTTAAAATATGGGCCCAGCAGTCAATGATTCTCTCTCATCATTGATGTCTCTCTCTCTCTCTCTCTCTCTCTCTCTCTCTCTCTCTCTCTCTCTCTTCCCTTCCTCTCTGAAATTAATATTATAAAAATATATTTTTAAAATGGGCGCAGCAGCAGAGGGGTGAGGGGGGGTGGGGGTTCCAAACACCACTGCCCATACACCACCTGGTGGTGTCAGGCTGGCATGGGGCCTGCCCTTTAAGGCTGGCTGCATTTGCCTTACGGACTGGGTCTGCAGTCTTTGCTGTAGAACCAGGACACAGCAGCTGGCAGAGTGCACCTCCTGGCCACAAGGAGGCTCTCAGGCTCCCACCCCAGGCCTAGTTCCCTCCTCCTCTTCCTGAACTGCGCCCTTCTTAGTCTCCCCACCTTTAATCTGTTCCCTGGAGATGCCTGTTCTTCCCTCTCTGGTCATCGCACCTTGATTTTAAAGATTCTACCCCAACCCAGATTTTGGAGTGCCACTGAAGCTGAGGCCACTCTACCATACCCCACCCCTCCACCCAGGTGAGTGACCATGTGACCTAGTCCTGACCAATCAGTGCACTCCATCTTCCTGGCCTTAGTAACGGGTTGAGGGATGGGCACCTGACCCAAGGCGTCCAAGGAGTGTCCTCCTGGGGCCGTGCCGCAGTTATGGGGACGGGTGTCTCTCTTCTGACCGGGATTTCCAGGCTGTGGCAGGAAAGCGCGGAGCCTGCCTCAGAATGAGGCCCACAGAGGAAAGCAGAGCCAAGGATGAGAGACAAATTTCTGATGACATCTCTTAAGCCCCTGGATCTAGCCATGCCTGAAGCTGATGTGCCCCTAGGTTTTTTCATAAACGAGCCGACCCACTCATTTCTTCCCCAAGCCGCTTTGAGGAAGGTTCTCTTTCAGTTTTTAAAAAAGTATATTTTTATTGCTTTCAGAGAGGAAAGGAGAGGGAGGGAGAGAGAGATAGAAACATCAATGAGAGAGAACCATTGATCGGCTGCCTTCTGCATGCCCCCTACTGGGTACTGAGCCAGCCACCGGGGTATGTGCTCTGGACTGAAATTGAACCTGGGACCCTTCCGTCCGCAGACAATGCTGCATCCACTGAGCCAAACCAGCTAGGGCTCTCTTTCACCTTCAATCAAGAGTCCCAGCTAAACACCCACCCACCTCACACACCCTCTCAGAAGGCTTCATGGCATCCCATCATTTACAGATTCAACCCCCGTGACATTCAAGACCCACTGTGACCTGGCCCCAACCCCCTCCAGACTCAGCTCTTCCTAGATCCTCTGGCCTTGCTGGTTTCTTCCCCATCCCCAGACATTCCCAGTGTCCCTTCTGGACTATGCAAATATGTCCCACTACCCTCCCTCTTCCCCCCCCCCCGCCCCCAACAATCTGTAAAACTCTCTCTCTCAAGGCTCCCTCTTCTCTCGCCTGGCTCTTTGTTGGAACACCAGCCCAAGCTATAGTGAGTTGTGTCCACATCCACTTTCCTGGCTGACCTTGTCCTTTCTCTGAGCATGGGGGCCCTGACCAGGGTGCGCCGGAGGCAAAGGGCCCACTCGCTACACGCATGCACTGACCCGGCCGTGTTACTGTTAAAGGCCCCTTTGCCCTGTGCGTGCCGAGGCAAGGACTCCGCAGCAGCGCTGTACGTACTGCGCAGGCGCCCCCCGTGTAGCCTGCTTGTGTTAA